ATGCCCTTGACCGGAATCGAACCTGGGACCTTTCAGTCCGCAAGCCAACGCTCTATCCACTGAGCCAAACCGGTTTCGGCACTCTCACATCATTGATGTTTCTATCTCTCCCTCTACCTTCCTCTCTGAAACCAATTAAATATTTTTTAAAAAATAATCATAAATAAATAAAAATAAATGAATAAGGAATCTAATGAACAAAACCAGAGGCATGGAAACATGGAACACACTGGTGAATCTCAGAGGGAAGGGGGGTGGGGTGCTGAGAAGAGATTAACCAAATAATTTATATGCATATATGCATTACCTATGGACACAGACAATAGGTGGTGAAGACCTGCGGTGAGGAGGGAACCAGGTGAAGGGAGGCAATGGGGGAGGGAGGGGGGACATCTGTAATACTCTCAACAATAAAGGTTAAAATAAAATTTAAAAATGTATACATTTGTGTTCACAACCCTAATGCCATTATAACATCAGACTGAATACGTGTGTCTCCCCAAAATGTGTATATTGAAACCTAATCCCCAAGGTGATGGTATTAGGAGGGGATTAGGTCATAAATGTGGGGCCCTCATGAATGGGATTAGTGCCCTTGTAATAGAGACTCCAAAGAGCTCCCTCACCCCTCCCTCCATGTGAGGACACAGTAATCTGCTGGCACCATGGTCTTGAACTTCCCAGCCTCTAGAACTGTGAGAAATAAATGTTGTTTATAACCCACCAAGTCTGATATTCTGTTATAGCAGCTTGAATGGACTGAGACAACAGCTAAGACAATTAGCAGCCATTCTTTGGCATCACCAAACACACAGGCCATCATCGAATTCCTCTAATTGGCTCCAAATGTCACTGTGCATTTGTTTTCTTTGAATTGGGATCCAAACAAGCTCCACATGTTATGTGTGCCATGTCTTCTACGTCCCTTTTATTTGAACCCAGTAGTCCTGAAATCAGAGTGCGCATTGCAATCCTCTAGATCAGCGGTTCTCAACCTGTGGGTCGCGACCCCTTTGGGTGTCGAACGACCCTTTCACAGGCGTCGCCTAAGACCATCGGAAAACACATATATAATTACATATTGTTTTTGTCATTAATCACTATGCTTTAATTATGTTCAATTTGTAACAATGAAAATACATCCTGCATATCAGATATTTACATTATAATTCATTCATTACGATTCATATTTACATTATGTAGCAAAATTGCAGTTATGAAGTAGCAACGAAAATAATTTTATGGTTGGGGGTCACCACCACATGAGGAACTGTATTAAAGGGTCGCAGCGTCAGGAAGGTTGAGAACCACTGCTCTAGAGGTTTTGTTAAAGTCCCAATCCCTCTACCAGAGCTTCTGACTCAGGAGACCTTGAGGGCCCAGGGGTCTGCATTCCTAACACATTCCCAGACAACGTTGTGGACACAGGAAACATGCTTTGAGAAACCGCTGCTCTAGATTTCCTCCTTTTCCCCAACCCCACCTACCTTGGATTTGTTGCAGGAAGAACGTGGAATGCTGGGAATTCCACACCTTCTAGTTTTGCTGTGTCCTCTCTGGTGCCTTTACCTTGTTCCTCTCTCCCCTGTATTTCCTATAAATCACTTGTTCTCAGCCCTGGCTGTACACTGGAACCCCCTGGGAATTTAACAAAATACTCAAGCTTGGACCCCAGGGTTACCAAGCAAGGCCTAATGGACACAGAAGCCAATGCTAAGGCACTAGCTTCTCCTTTTTTCTTTTAAAAATATATTTGTATTGATTACAGGGAGAGAGATAGAAATATCAATGATGACAGAGAATCACTGATCAGCTGCCTCCTGCACGCTCCACACTGGGGATGGAGCCTGCAACCCGGACGTGTGACCTGGAATCAAACTGCGACCTCCTGGTTCATAGGTCAATGCTCAACCACTGAGCCATGCCGGCCAGGGTATGGCACTAGCTTTTGAGGAGAAAAAAAAAAGCTTTTATTGTGAGGTCAACCTGCAAAGAGACAGGAGGCAAGGCTCAAGTCTGTCTTCTCCTTCCAGGGCTTGGGGCCAGGTAGCTTAGTTGGTTAGAGTGTCGTCCTGAGATACCACGGTTATGGGTTCAATCAGGACACATACAAGAATCAACCAATGAGTACATAAATAACTGGAACAACAAACTGGTGTTTCCCTCACTCTCTTTCACTCTCTTTCTCTCCCTTCCTCTCTCTCTCTCTAAAAATCAATAAATAAAAACTAATAAATAATGCAAGGGGTTTCAACACCGGATCTTCCTGGACAGCAGGCCCTTTGCTTCTGAAAGGGTTTCATCAGGTTCCGATCTTGTGCTGGTCCTTTGTTTCTGCGGGGGAAGCAGCGAAGGGTTCACAAGTGCTACTCACAAGGGGAATTTCGAAGTTTAAACTTTGGTCTGGGTCCTGTTGGTGCGAACCCTGAGAACGAAGATACCTACTGACAAGGGTTCCCGGTGGCTAACTGGGCTCAAATTTTAAAACACCGAGTCTGGCAGCCATTTCCACACAGGGGCCTCTCACACCAACTGCACTCCAGGGAGAAGTCTGCACTGAACTGCTTGGCTCTGCACTGACTCGCCGGCCTGTACTGCTTCCGCCACCTGAGGCAGCCCTGATGAAGGAGTGCCTGAAATCCTATTTCAACCATAGGACTGAGGCTTTCCCCACCCAACTGGAGCTGCAAAGGTCCGGTCAACTAGAGCAGTTCTATTCTGACCAATTAGGACAGTGCCTTTTGGACCAATCAAACTGCCGAGGATGTGGAGCCCTCATTTGCATGAGGACACACCAATCAGGGACCAGGGGTGGGGACTTGTGTCTATATAAGCCAGCTCTCCGTGGCTCTGGGAGCACTCTCCTTTCCACCTAAGGCTGAAAGGAGCAGAACAGGCCAGAAGGCAGTGAGCAGGTCACTGCAGCACGGGGCTGATGGACACAGCGGACCAGTGCAGACCAGCCAGGGGCAGAGCCGCCTAGCTGGAGGGTGGCCTGGCCCCAGGGCTGCCTCAGAGCTGTGCTGAATCACAACTGAGGTGCTTTGCACTGTGTAATTCCTTTCTCCACCACACCCCGACTGGGGATTCCTATTGTTGAATCGGCACCAACATCCATCAGTTGACATTAGAAACAGGATAGGACCCGTTTGAGCTGGTTCTGTGGTTACCCCATCTCTCCATCTTCTCATTTAATTGGACTGGGCTGTGGCCTGGGCATGGGACTTATTACATTTACCCAATTAAGGGGTGGCCATGGACACTGCTGAGAATCAATAAAACCAGGGTTTCACCCAGTGACCATAGCAGACTGAATGGATTCTTCCACTGGGGGTTGCAAATGGTAATTTATCTAATGTTTCCATATTTCTTTTGGGGAAGATAATAAGATGTCCTATTTGCTATTGCTGCAATCAACTGCCACTTCTGTAAAACACACCTCTCTTTCTTTGGAACCAGCCCACCTCTCAGATTTCTGTCCCTAAGTTAGGGGCAGGCAAATTCTCCCAGCCAGCTGATCAGCACGTTTCATCTGTCTCGACCTCAGTCATTGGTTCAGGCATGGACTGGGACCCAAGTGGCCAAGAGACCTGGTTTGGGGAAGTTAACTAGGGTTATCAGGAAAGAGCAGCTTCCACCATCCCCACAGCCCCCCACAACGCACATGGTTCAGAGGGGGCCACCTCACAGGGGCGAGGCTACAGAGAGGAGGCACAGAGAGCAGGGATGAGAATCCTGGTACCATATGCAAGTCTTTGGACCTAGCTCACTCCGGCTCTGCAGTTCACTCATTCACTGAACGAACATCTGTACAGTGCCTGCTGAGTGTCAGAAACAAACTGTTTTTACTAAGACATACTCAGTCAAAGCCAGATTTCTCAGCGTAGGCTAGTAAGTATTCTTATAATTAGTAAGGTCACCACTTTTCATATATGTTTGACATAACCAGTGGTCGGCAAACTCATTAGTCAACAGAGCCAATTATCAACAGTACTTCTTCAAAATAGACTCGCCCAGGCCGAAAACCGACTTCTGCGCATGGGCCATGAAATTTCAATAGCACTGTACGTGCACGCCCGCACGTGGTATTTTGTGGAAGAGCCACACTCAAGGGGCCAAAGAGCCGCATGTGGCTCAAGAGCCGCAGTTTGCCGACCACGGGTTTAGGATTTTCATGGTTGTTTTCTTACAAAGACATGATTGATTAAATCGTTGGCCATTGGCGATTCACTCTATCTCCAGCCCCACTTCTCCCAGGTCAGGAGGCAGGACTGATCGTGCCAACACTCTAATCATGGCTTGGTCTTTCTGGAGACCAACTCCCACCCTGAAGCTACCAACCCCCTCCCCAGTCCTCTGGGTAACATACAAAAGACACTTAGCCGTCCCTCCGGAGGTAACGGTTTTAAGAGATGTGTGCTAGGAACCAGGGACAAAGACCAAGTATTTCTTTTTTATTGTAGCAGACAGGAACAGAGCTGGGGGTGGCAGTGAAATATTTTTAAATCCCTACGTTTAGCTGACACTACTGGAGGAGATACTTATTGAAGTTAAATGAGAAAATGCACAACTCAGGAACGGTGAGATGGAAGAGATGCACGGGACAAGGTATGGGGGAGGGGTGTGGGATTTCCATGCCTTCTCTGGGCGTACCACCCTCGCAGCATGGCCATGTATTCACCAACCCGGAAGCTCGTCCATAGTTTAGGGCAGTGGTTGGCAAACTCATTAGTCAACAGAGCCAATTATCAACAGTACTTCTTCAAAATAGACTCGCCCAGGCCGAAAACCGACTTCTGCGCATGGGCCATGAAATTTCAATAGCACTGTACGTGCACGCCCGCACGTGGTATTTTGTGGAAGAGCCACACTCAAGGGGCCAAAGAGCCGCATGTAGAGCGTCAGCCTGCGAACTGGGAGGTCCCGGGTTCGATTCCGGTCAAGGGCATGTACCTGGGTTGCGGGTACATGAGAGGAAGGGAGAGGATGTGCAGGAGGCAGCTGATCGATGTTTCTCTCTCATCGATGTTTCTAAATTTCTATCCCTCTCCCTCCCTCTCTGTAAAAAATCAATAAAATAATTAAAAAAACAAAAAAAAAACAAACAAAAGACACTTAGCCGTCCCTCCGGAGATAATGGTTTTAAGAGATGTGTGCTAGTAACCAGGGACAAAGACCAAGTATTTCTTTTTTATTCCCTCCGGAGGTAACGGTTTTAAGAGATGTGTGCTAGGAACCAGGGACAAAGACCAAGTATTTCTTTTTTATTGTAGCAGACAGGAACAGAGCTGGGGGTGGCAGTGAAATATTTTTAAATCCCTACGTTTAGCTGACACTACTGGAGGAGATACTTATTGAAGTTAAATGAGAAAATGAAATAGTATTTTATATTCTAGGGGCTATGGGAAGGAGGGGTTGCAGTACTAAAGTACTAAATTGTGAGGGAAGTAGGGGGAGGGGTGCAGAATGAGAAGGTGAAATTTGTGAAAACACCTGAAAGAGGAACTGAGAGAGGGGAGCTTTGTGACTACCTGGGGTAGGAGAGTTCCAGGCAGAGGGACAGCTAATGCAAGGGGCCTGAGGCAGGGGCCTGATGTGTTCAAATAGCAGCTAGGAGGTCAATATGACCGGAGCAGAGCAAGTGTAGGGGGCAAGTGGGAAAAGTTGAGAGCAAGGAGGTGGCTGATGAGGACAGGCAGTACCTTGTAGGACACAGGGAGACTTTGGCATTTACTCCCAGGCAGGTGGGAGCCATGGAGGGTTCTGAGGAGAGGGATGTGACCAGACTCGGGTGCTCCAGGCGCCCCCTGGCGGCTGTGGTGGAGGACAGACCTTCCCAGTTGAATTAGTTGGAGCAACATTATCCTCTCTGCCCTCCAGGCAGAGGCAGTTTCCAGGGCCAAAGCGGTGGCCAGGAGTTCCCGCTAGACAGCCCCAGGCCTGAGCTTCCCTGGACTCACACGGCATCTGCTACAACCCGCATGGCCCTCAACCCTCTGCTTGGCTGTGAGTCAACTGCCCTCTTCCTGGAAGTCGCATTTCACTAATGGAAATAAAAAAAACAACTGCATCTGGGCACAATGGCTTTAATTGTTTTTTCGTGTGGAGAAAAGTGCAACGTCTTTCCAATGGTCATCAAAGAATCGCTTACGCAGGAGAGCCACATCCAGGGCAGAAATGAGCAGGCCGGGGGCTCTCTCCGTAGTGTTTTGGGATTATGGGGGAGAAGAAGCCAGTTAGCAGAATTAGCGCTTCCACACGGAGACCAAATTTCACCCTTTGCTTGTTTTTCTAAGTTTAGTTGGAGAGAATGACACAAGAATATGACCCCCAGAGAAGCCAGGAAAAAAAAGAAAGAAAGCAGAACCCCAAACCACAGCAATCGTGGCAGTGTCCCACCGAACTGCCTGTGGAAAGACAAGTTGCTAAAAGCAAACGGTAAGAAGGGACAGCACCCAGGCAGGACCCAGCCTCAGGCGAGGGCTCCCGGCCGGCTCCCTGCAGCTGGGAGGTGGTTTTCCCACAGCTTTTGGTATATTTTTGTTTGTAAACTCAACAAGCCTCCCTCCCCTCAGGGACCCGGGAGAACATCAATTTCTGTTCCCCAGAGACTATCTTGAGCGAACACTGCCCCCCAAACGTCATGAAATAAAAACTCGCATTATTTTTAGCAGAAACAAAAATACATATTCTGCTCCCAGTCTTGAGAGAGCCCGGCGGCAGCTGTCTCGGTTGTTACTTGAAGCTGAACGGTTGGAAAACTCTGTGCACACAGAAAGCTTAGACGATGCGGCCATCGCTGCGTCACAGGGGCTGCGGCAATAGGCTGGTCCCTCTTGACCCACCGTTTTTTCTGGCAGCAGCTCAGCGAGAATGGACTGGCCAGTGACATCTTGACAGCCCGTGGTGCAACTTCAGAAGACTTCTAATTTAATGGCACTTTTATGTTAAAGCAATGAACATTTCTGATTTCAGATCTTTGTGTATCTCCCAAAACTTGGTCCTTTCACCAGTCATTTCACTTGTTGGTGTACAAAGATATCCTGACTCTGAAAGTCTCCGGGGAGACCCTGGTACGGGGCACGTAGGGTCCTCTAGAAACGGGTTCTATCTAGAGTTTCCAGAAAGGCGGCAGCGAATCTTAAACTTGAACCAGGCCTTCCCCATTCCGCAGCGGAGGAGATGGAGACCTTTAAGGCTACAGGCTGTCCTCACAGTGTCTATCAAGTTATGGGGTGTCGGTTGGTATTCCAGGGCAGAAAGGGCCACTGAGCTGTACGGGGTGCATGTGAAGAGGGTAGATCCCCAAACTGCACATAACCTCCCACGGCAGGAGCCCGGGGCAGCTGGAAACCCAAGCCTCACCCAGGGAGACTGACCCCAGCCCATCCCCCACCAGCCTGCCACTCCCAGGCTATATCATGAAGCGCAAGAGGCAGTAGCAGTTACACAACCCTACCCTCTCCCTCTTCCAGCCCAAACCCCAAACATTCCTGAGAGTGACTCCTCTGTTAGCAAAAACAGGTCCATCTCTGGGCCCCACCGATGACATGGCTCAGGACGCGGACCCTGGGTCTTCCCCCGTGCTCAGGTGAAAGAAGCCCAAGTCCTTACAGCAGAAAGTCACCAGCAAGGGAGGGCCATGGGGACATTGCTCAATTTCCTTCTCTAGTCTAGCCGGATGTGAGATGTGGAAAGACTTTGCTTAAAACATCACCCAATGGGCCCACGGAGGCAGGTTTGGGCAGGAGGGCCGGGGCTCCTGGCTCTGAGGTTAACTCCTGGCAAAAAGCCCCAACCGGTAAGGCCAGGGGGTTGGCGATTCTCTGCCTGGCCTAACACAGTGCCTCATTCCAGAATTCAATCCCGGATCAGGGGCACCATGGATCAGCCAACAGTGGCAGGGTCGTGGTGATGCGAAATTGTGGGGAAACTCAGAAGGCACTTCGGGGTCCCCGAACCCAGGGGGTTCTGACCCCCTATCCCTTCCCAACAGGTAAAGCTGCTTTAATACTGTTCTCACAGAGGATCTGCAGGCCAGAAGGGAGGGGTCTACCCTGGCCAAAGTCACCCCCGCACCTTGGAGCCTTGAGATCAGAGATCGATGGGCAGGCTGGGGTCAGAGTAGGGGACCTGGAGCAAGGAGCCTCCTTCCCTATCTCCAAGGGTGAACTCGGAGAACCGCATGGCGGGAGGAAGAAGGCTAACCCCCTTCAACCAAGGCCCAGCACAGAACAGATGTGGACCATGGCTCGAACCCAGAAGGCACTGTAGAAGCCCCACAGGCTGCCCACGTGCGCCCACTGAAACACCGGAAGGCAGCAAGCGCGTGCATGTCAACATCCCCAGACCCTGCCTCTCATGCAGAGTCCTGGGGTCTGGAGCTTGCGACAGGGGCTGCTTGGGCAGCTGCCGGCTATAGTGAGGAGACGAGCCATGCGGGCAGTGAGGGGCAGCTGACAGCTGACAGGAGGGAAGGGGGCGCCCTGAGCTTGAAAATAGCCCTTGTGGCTCATGCCTCAGTCACATTCCCTGCGGAGGCAGGAGGGGGGGGGCGGGGTACCCTCTCTAGCAGCTACAGCTGCTAGGCCTAGGCGGTGGGGCATCCCCCAAGGCGGGCCCTTTCCCATTGCTGCCCGGGCTGGAGCTGGGATCCAGGGACTCATTCATTTTCTCACAGATGACATCCACCAGGCGCTCGAAGACCTGCTTCACGTTGATATTCTCCTTGGCACTGGCCTCGAAGAACTCGAAACCTGGACGGACATAAGTGGGGACACCTGTGAGACCCTGCAAGGCATAGGCTGGGCTGCGGCATCATCCAAATCTGGGTTCCATGCACACTTCTGTCTGTTAAGCAGCTATGGGACCTTGGCTGAGTGCCTTAGTCTCTCTGAGCCTCAGTGGGCTTGTCTATTAAATGGGAACCATGTTAATAAAAACCTGTGATAGTCCTGGCTGGTTTGGCTCAGTGGATAGAGTGTCGGCCTGCGGATTGAAGGGTCCCAGGTTCGACTCCCATCAGGGGCGCATGCTCAGGTTATAGGCTCAATCCCCAGTTGGGGGCATGCAGGAGGCAGCCAATCAATGATTCTCTCTCCCTCTCCCTTCCTCTCTGAAATAAAAAAAAAAAACAAAAAAAAACAAAAAACCTGTGACAGAAGCCCTGCTCTGGGATACCCTAAGAATCTCTTTGTCCCAGGGCAGTGGCTGCAAGAGTCCAGGGGGCGCATGCTCAGGGTATAGGCTCAATCCCCAGTTGGGGGCATGCAGGAGGCAGCCAATCAATGATTCTCTCTCCCTCTCCCTTCCTCTCTGAAATAAAAAAAAAAAACAAAAAAAAACAAAAAACCTGTGACAGAAGCCCTGCTCTGGGATACCCTAAGAATCTCTTTGTCCCAGGGCAGTGGCTGCAAGAGTCCAGGTAGTAACATTGTGGTGCCTAGAGGGATGGGTACCCACGGGTGGCTTCGACTTACCGTCCATGCAATTGTACTGCACAGGAAGGTACCGCAAGGCTGCCCACAAAACTAGGTTTTGATATGGACGTTAGAAATGTTCTGGAAAATGTGCTTCAGACCAAGTAAAACATAGCTGAAGACTGGCTTCAGCCTGGGGGGCTACCAGTCTGCAGTCTCTGTCGGGTTCCCCAGTGTTTGTGGAGAGTGTGCGATAAGTAGTTCCTGGCCTATAGAATGCACTAAAAATGGTAATGGTGATAATAATAATTAATAATAATAATAGTAAGTGCTTATATCATGTTTACTATGTGTCAGGCACTTTCCTAAGCGCTTTACATAAATAAACATCTTTAATGATGCTCTGAGGTTCATCCTATTATAACCCATTTTATAGAGGAGGAAACTGAGGCACAGACAGGGAAAGTCACTCATTTAAAATTCACACAGGTAACACGTGGCAGGGCCAGGGTTCACACCCAGGCTGCCTTGCTTAACAACAGTTAATATTAAATCAATATTTTTAATATAAAGAAAGAATAATAAATATTCCTATTGTACCACCTTGGGTCTTGGCTGGCTGACTCCTGGGGTGGAGATGTGAGGTAGCTTTGAATATATTCTTAGTGACCATCATAACTTGTTTGCCCTCGCAAAGGTGGGAGGTGAAACGAATGCTTTGCTTAAGGTCCCTCAGCTACAAAGAGTACCAGTCAACCTGAAAATAAGGGTGTGCAAGACGATCCTTCCTGCACCCCTAAAAGTTTGGTTAAGAATCTGCCTGCAGGGAACTCTCCCTGAAAGGTCCCCGATGTGTCCCCACCTGCCACCCCTGCCAAGGTGGCCAGGAGTCCAAGCAAACACCCACCGCATTATACACAGCGCAGGGTAAGTGGGCCTCCGCCCCGGCACTTGTCATGCTGCTCTATAAAAATGTAATTGTAATTAAATAGTCAGGTGTGTGACTATAGGTTTCCTATCCATCTCCGCTATTAGACCACCAGCACCAAGAGGGCAGGACTTCTGTCTGCCTTGTCCACCCTGCAGCCAGTGCCTGGCACACAGCAGGCATTAGGGAACTACTTGTTCAATGACTGGATGAATGGATGAATGATGAATGAATGAATGAATGAATGCTAGAGGCAGGATATGAACTCAGACCTTCTACTCTGAACCTAGTGATCATCAATGGCACCCCACTGTCTTCCTGGGCAAACCTGGCATTTCCTTCAAATATGTGTGTCTTCTCTCAATCTGAGTTCTTTTTTTTTATATATCTTTTTTTCATCATAAATATTTGCTAGAAACTGCTGAAAAGTATCAAGACAAATATGAAAGCCATTTGTAGTTTCATCACCCAGAGACAATTACTATTGGTGTTTGATATGTAGCTTTCTACTTTTAAAAATACAAATATAGCCCTAGCCGGTTTGGCTCAATGGATAGAGCATCAGACTGCAGACTCAAAGGGCCCAGGTTCAATTCCGGTCAAGGGCACATGCCTGGGTTGCAGGCTCGATCCCCCGTAGGAGTCCTGAAGGAGGCAGCCAATCAGTGATTCTCTCCCATCACTGATGTTTCTATTTCTCTCTTCCTCTCCCTTCCTCTCTGAAATCAATAAAAAATTAATTTTAAAAATACTAATACATAATTGTTGGGTTTGGGTTTGTAGGTGGTGTGTGTCGGGGGGAGTTAAGTTTTTGTTTTGTTTTTTTACAAAATTGAGATTAAATTCCATCTTCTGCTCTGTACTCTGGTATTTTAAATGTAATGACAGGGTGGGAAGTCTCCCCTCAGCCCTGTCACTAGATGTCTCGGGAAGAAGGTGTGGGCGACACCCACAAGTGCCCTAGCCCACGATGGGACTCCCCAGGAGTGAGCCCAGGCTAGGGTTCCCAGAAAACACGAGGGACAGAGGAGCAGGTTAAGCGACCCCACGAGGGAGCAAAGAGCCAGACCTCAAATGGAAGATGTTCCATAGAACAAAGACCTGGGTTCTCCAACAAATTGATGGCAAGAAAAAAGAGAAAGGGGACCATTACAGTCCAGGGGTCCTAGGACTTTTTCTGTCAAGGGCCAGAGAGTAAATATTTCCGATTTGGTGGGCCATCAGGTGCTTAGAGCTTTCTAGGCAAACATCAACAGTAGTTCACAGTCACGCCAGCTAACACTCAGATGTGCCTATAACTGCTTCACATGCTGTAACTCATTTAGTCCCCACGATACCTCAGTGAGGTGGGACTGTTATTAATCTCCATTGGACACATAGGGAAGTGCAGACCCAGAGAGCTGGAGTCACCGGTACAAGATCACAAAGTGACTGAGAAATAATACAAGTTAATGTTCAACCGAGGCCAGCGTTTGCCTATTTAATCCTTCTAATAGCCGATGAAGTCGACACGGTTTCACCTGTTTCCTAGGTGAGACGGGGAAGCACCGTGGGGAGGCCCTGTGCCCTCGGTCACACCGCAGTGGGTTGCAGACTGGGATTCTAGCTTGACTCTGGGTCCTTAACACGCCCTACCCTACAGTAGTTACACCATGTCCCTTTAAGCCAAGTCCTGGGAGAGTCCAGAATACTAGAATATTCCAGGACAAGGTTTTCATTGAGCTTAAGTTTCGAATAGATAATTCATTCATCACCTGCTCCAAAGAGATAAACTGAAGAGTCCCCCTCCCACCCTGGTTTCCAGCCACCCAGTTTTCAGACACAAAAGTCACGTCTGTGACTAGATCCTTCCGTATCCTCCCAGAGTTCCTTTAGGCCAGTGGTTCTCAACCTTCTGGCCCTTTAAATACAGTTCCTCATGTTGTGACCCAACCATAAGATTATTCTCATTGCTACTTCAGAACTGTCATGTTGCTACTGTCGTGAATTGTAATGTAAATATCTGATATGCAGGATGGTCTTAGGCGACCCCTGTGAAAGGGCTGTTCGACCGCCAAAGGGGTCGCGACCCACAGGTGGAGAACCGCTGCTTTAGGCAAACTTAAGTATATGTTCTTATTCTCATCCTTTTTATACACGAATGCCGGTGTTGGCCAACTTCGGAATGCAGGCCAAATCTGGCCCGTGGCCTGTTTTGTAAATAACGTTTTCCTGGCCGTCATACTCATTCCTTGATGTATTGTCTACACTGCTTTCAGGCAGAATTGAATAGTTGTGAGAGGCCAAAAACATTTCCTCTCTGGCCCTTTAAGCAAATGTCTGCTGACTGCTGCCCGAACTAAAGGAAGCAGCCACAGCCACTGTTCTGCAGTTCGCTGTTACCTCTTAGCCACATAACCCAGAAACCTTGCCATGGTCACAGCCGCACAGCATTTTGCCACGTGAATATGCTTTAGGTACTGCTGCTCCCTCCACTGCGAGACGCCTGGGCGGCTGCCAAGGTGCCCCCACCACGAGCAGAACTGCAATTTGACACACTCGCCGCTTCTCACGTGGGTGAGGATGTTTGTGGGATAAATATCCAGAAACAGTTTTCTGAGTCTGGGTTCCTAGGGGGGCAGCGGTCAGGGAGAGGGATCAATGGGTGAACCCCCTGGAATTAAGTGGAGAAGGGGGCATACACGTGGGCATTTTTCTGGCCAGATCCCTCAAAGAGCAAAGGGTTGGAGACTGCGGTTGGACCTGGGATCTGAGCGTGAGGAGGGGGGCTTGTTCTGGGAAGTCCAGGGCCTACAGCCCAGGCTGGGCACTAACCAAGGTCATCGGCGAGCCTCTGGCCGTCCTCCGCAAGCACGACACGCTCATCCTCCAGGTCACACTTGTTCCCCACGAGGATGACCTGAGCATTGTCCCAGGAGTAGGTCTTGATCTGGGTGGCCCTGTGGAGTTTGAGGGCTGTGAGGCCAGAGATTTGGGGTGAGGGGAGAGGGCAAAGGTCAGGGGATCAGTAGGCAGCAGGCACTCACCAGTCCTGCACGGCGGTAAAGGACTCCTGGTTGGCAACATCATACATGAGCAGGAAGCCCATGGCTCCCCGGTAGTAGGCTGTGGTGATCGTCCGGTAGCGTTCCTGCCCTGCCGTGTCCTGGGGAAGCAGTGGGGTCAGCCGACTAGGGAAGGGTCACCGCACCCCTACAGGCCCTGCCCCCACTGCCCCAGTCTGATGAGAGAAACATGGGTTGCCTCCATGTCTGATGTGAGAGACATGACCCTGAGCTTGAGGAATTCCCAGTCGGAGGGGTCAGTGCCTCTCACAGACTTATAAGCCCCTTGGACCTCATCTCCAAGAACCCACGTAATGACCACAAACAGGAGCCACCTGGGCTAGAGGGGAACCTTCTTGATGCACACACCTGGTGCTCGTTACCCTGACAATTGTTACCAACGGCTGCACCCTGGGCGTGGGCAGGGGGCGTGAGGATGGCTCTGACACCTGGCGGGCTCAGTGGGGGCCTCTGGGCTCACACCTGAGACGTACCTAAATCCCTTTCCCATTAGTCACTAGGACTTCTAACTGCCTTGGGTTACTGCTGACTCCCCCTCAGACCTCACAGGGCAGGCGCATCCTCTCGTCCTGGTGAATGCGCCTCACAGATAATACCCCTCTACTCTTCACACCTACTCCACGCCCCCTCCCCGACTCTGGGCTCCTCTCTCACTCGGGACCCCTTCCCACAGCCCCACACCTTCCCATGGACGTCCCACAGACCCGGGAACAGCAGCAGGGCCCACCCAGATCTGCAGCTTGATCCTCTTGTCGTGGCGGTAGACGGTCTTGACCTTGAAGTCAATGCCCACGGTGCTGACGAAGGCGGGGGTGAAGGAGTCGTCCGCGTAGCGGAACAGGAAGGACGTCTTGCCCACGCTGCTGTTGCCAATGAGCAGGAGCTTGAACATGTAGTCGAAGTTCTGGTCTGCTGCATCACGAGGGCTGGTGGGGGGGTCTCCAGCTGATGCCATCCTGGGGGAAAGCCTCCTGCAGGGAAACAAAAGACAAGTAACCTGGGTTCAAATCCCGCTTCTGCCACTTGGAGGCCAGGCGACTCAGGATGCATCAGTTGCTCTCTGCCGGACTCAGAAAAGGGGGATGTTTGGCAAATGCAAGGGCCCCAGTTGGGGGGCGCCTGGGGGCCTCCTCTGGCCACTGAGGAACCAGACCCTGCGAAGGTGCAGGTGTGGACTTTGCCCCCTGGTGAGCAGCCAGTGTGGCCCAGGTGTGGGCCGGGGGAAAGGGGCCTGCCAGCTGGATAGCGTCCCCCCTCCCCCTGCAGGCTGGGTGTTGACTTTGGCAGGTGTCAGCCACCACCAGGGTGCCTGCCCTGCCCCCATCCAGCTGAGCTTAACCCCTTCCCTGATCCCCAGGGGAGGGGATTTCAGGAGGTTCAACCCAGGGAGAAGCCGAGCTCCGCCCCGGCAGTGGGTACTGCCACCTCCTATTTGTCAAAGGGGCCGGGCCCATTTTGTTCTGGATAGAGCTGACTCAGTCCAGCCCCAGCCCAGGGAGGCTGGGGTGATGGTCCTCAAATAGAAGGAAACCACCCCAGCCGCCTAATAATCAGGAACCCTACTGCCAGGACCGCCACTCCTGGTCCTGTCTTTCCTGGCATTGTGTCCCCACAACGGGGCTGCCTCACCTGGGCCCAGGGCATCCCCTCAGCCTCCCTAGATTTCAGCTGACCCAGCTGTCTACCGCCGCCCCCTGAGCCACGCAGGGAGGTTCCAGAAGACCTGGGTGAGCGGGGGACACACCTCGCAAAGCTCTTTCTCAACTGCCTGTGGGGCTTCTTTCCATTTTAAAGGAGGACACAGCCGGCCCCCCTTTCTGCCCAGCCCTCAGCCCCACCCCGTGTTCCGGGAGAACGAGTTTGAGGGGAAGACAAGAGACAGGAAGCCTTTCCCCAAGCTGGGCAGGGCTGCCAGGCTGGGGCCCCGTCCCCGCCCCACCCCCAGCCCACCTGTCAGCCGGCCCCATCCTCCCTCGCCCGGCACTTGGTAAGGGTCCCGGGATCTGGCCCCTTCCCTCTCCGCTGGGTTTGGGGGGCCCCAGCCAGTGCAGGGTAGCTCTGGAGCGTCCTCCCATCACCATATGGTCCCATCTCTCGTTCCCAGCGGGGCTCTCTGAGCCGCCCGCGTCCCATTCTCGTCCTCGGAGGAGCCCAGCTGGGTGGGGGCGAGGAAGAGGCGTCCCCCGCTGCCCGCCTCTGTTCCCCCGGGGCCTCCCCCAAACCCCTGGTCCCCCCCAGACCTGATGGGACGCGGAGGTGCGGGGCGGGGTGCGCTCCCTCCGAGCGGGTCACCTCGAGTGGGTCGTTGCCCGCGGGGTTTCCGCCTCCGAACTCGCTGCGGCCTACGTGCAGAGATCTGGAGCTCACTCCGCAACAACAAACTACTTACAGAACTCCTACTATGTGCAGAGCGATTGAGCGCGCGGATTCTGGAGCCAGGTTCGAATCCCAGCTCCTCCGCTTTCTATCTCTGTGACTTTGGAGAAGTTACTTAACCTCTCTGGGCCTCAGTTTCCCCAAAAGTCAAATGGTTGATGACAAGAGTCTCCCCCTCACAGGGTTGTGTATGGGTTCTGGTCTGAATTAGTGTTTGTAATTGCAGCGCGCCTGACCCTAAAGTGGGCTCAATCCCTTGGCCAAATACTCATAAGGGCCCTTGGAATTAATTTCCACTTTATGGATAAGGAAACTGAGTCTCAGAAAGGATCAGCTCCTTGGCCGAGGCCACACAGTATGGAAATTTGGCCCATCCAGCCCTAACTGAGGACCTAGAATTTTCTTTATGCCAGCAGGAGAGGATCTGCGGTTATAATCGTTTAGGCTTTACTGGTGTTCAACTTCCAACAACTCCACCTGAAGCCACTTGTTGAACATCTCTGAGTACCACTGCTTCATGAGAACAGCAGGTGCCTCTAAGGACTGCCATGAGAATGAACAAAAATGGCATGCATCAGTCAGGAAGGAGTGGCATATGCTCAGTAACAAGCAGCCCCGAAACTTCAATGGCACCCAACATTTGAGGTTTTCTTCTCACACTGGTCATTGTGGAGAAGGGAAAATGTGGCAAACCATGCACTGGCTTGTAGAGTAGTCCTCCCTTACCCAGAGCTTCCTTTCTGTGGGTTCAGTTACCCACAGTCAACCACTGTTTGAAAATATCAAATGGAAAATTCTGGGCTAAACAATTTCTCAGTTTAAAATTGTGTACCATTCTGAATAGCATAAAATCTTGCACTATCTTGTTCCATCTAACCTGGACGTGAATCACCCGTGACCACCATATCCACGCTGTGGACACTCCCCACCCAGTAGCCATCTCAGGTATTAGATCAAATGTCATGGTATCACAGTGCTTGTGTTCAAGTAACCCTTATTTTACTTCTATGAACCCAGCCCCGCCACTGTTGTCCAGTGGTTGAGTGTCAGCCCATGCACCAAGAGGTTGCCAGTTCACCCTAACCGGTTTGGCTCAGTGGATAGAGCATCGGCCTGCGGACTCAAGGGTCCTGGGTTCGATTCCGGGCACGGGCATGTATCTTGGTTGCAGGCATATCCTCATTGGGGAGTGTGCAGGAGGCAGCTGATCAACCCAGCCCCGCCACTGTTGTCCAGTGGTTGAGTGTCAGCCCATGCACCAAGAGGTTGCCAGTTCACCCTAACCGGTTTGGCTCAGTGGATAGAGCATCGGCCTGCGGACTCAAGGGTCCTGGGTTCGATTCCGGGCACGGGCATGTATCTTGGTTGCAGGCATATCCTCATTGGGGAGTGTGCAGGAGGCAGCTGATCGATGTTTCTCTCTCATCGATGTTTCTAACTCTCTATCCCTCTCCCTTCCTCTCTCTTTAAAAAAAAGAAATTTAAAAAAATTTAGTCCTAACTGATTTGGCTTAGTGGATAGAGCATCAGCCTACAGACTGAAGGGTCCCAGGTTTGATTCTAGTCAAGGGCATGTACCTTGGTTGCGGCCACATCCCCAGCGGGAGGTATGCAGGAGGCAGCTGTTCAATGTTTCTCTTTCATCGATGTTTCTAACTCTCTATCCTTCTCCCTTCCTCTCTGAAAAAAAATCAATAAAATATATTTTTAAAAAAACTTTTAAAAACTAATAATGACCCAAAAGCACAAGAGTAGAGAAGCCATAAAATGCTTTAATTGAAAGTGTGTATAGGAAAAAAACATAATATATATAGAATTTGGTACTACTGATAGTTTCAGGCAATCATGGGGTCTTGGAATGTATCCCCCATGAATAAGGAGGGGACCATTGTATCCTTCTCCCTCTTTTTTTTTGTTTGTTTTAATCCTCATCCGGGAATATTTTTCCATTGATGTTAAAAGAAAGTGGAAGGAAAGGAGGAGGGGAGAGAGAGAAACATCGACACATTAATTGGTTGCCTCCTGCACACGTGCCCTGACCAGGGCTGGGGATCAAACCTGTAACCGAGGTACATGCCATTGACCAGGAATCGAACCCAAGATCCTTTGGTCCAAGGGCTGACGCTGTTACCACTGAGAAAAATGGGCTAGGCGGTGTACCCTGCTCTTTGGAAATGACTATTGGGGTCTGTTTACATTTCATTGGCCAAAGCAAGACACATGGCCACCCCCAATTCAATGGGGTTGGAAATATGCTTGTCCCCTAGGGATCAGAACCAGCTATTGTTACAATAAGATATGGCACCAGTATGTGCAATGATTAGCTCCATGCTTGGCACACAGTGGGTGCTCAACAAATGGGCACTGTTATAGGAAGTGCGTTAGGGGCTGCAGTAGCTGACACTGCAAATCATCGTGGGGAGTATGAACGGAGAAACAGAGGCCCTCGCTTCCATTCTTGTCCACTTTTCCCCCTGCTTCCCAGGTGGAGAAAAAGCACAGCAGCCATTTCCAAAGACGGGTTTATTGAGATTTGGGGCGCCAGCAGGGACAAAGAAGCAGTGGGTGCTACAGGCTCCTGAGATTCAGGGCCAGGCCAGCAAGACAGAGCCCGTTGCTCAGGAGGCAGCCCAGGTTGCAAATGGAGGACAGGCCATGGTAGCGGAAGAAGATCTGGCGCAGGGCGCTGTACTTGGGATCCTGCTCCCGCAGCTGGCGGTAGAGGTCAGGGCCCTGGTGGCGGCCTGGTACCTCCCCGCCCAAGCCCTGCTTCTTCTCCACGGTCTGCAGGGCCCACATGGCAGCTGTGGTGCGAGGCTCCAGCCAACGGGCATTGATGGTGGCAAGTGTGAGACTCAGGAACAACAGGCAGAGCTGTTGGAAGTAGTGGGAGGTGAGCCGTGCCGGGCAGGCAGGGGGGGTGGGCCCTGGAGAGGGTCCTTCTGCACCCTCAAAGTCATATTCAGACTGGAAGTTTCCAGAACACAGCCTTTTCCCACAAACTGACCATATCTCAGAACAGAACCTCTCTTCCCCAAATTGGAACAGCACAATAACTGTCCCCTCGTTCCCCCAAAAGAGAGAGAGAGCCTAAGACAGGGTCCATCTCCTCTGTGGCCCCAGCCCAGATCCCAGAAGCTGACACTGGGCCCACAAGGAGTGAATAAAAAGTCCTTAAAGTTCTAGTTACCCATAATACTCTCTGGTCTCTATGGGATTATTCTTGAAACCCCTGTCAGGCTCTACCTGCCCACATATGAGGGACATAATGAGGGCAGTGGGAGGACGGGATAGAGAAATACGAGACACAGAAATGGTCGCTTGCCTGGTAGTTGGGAAAATGTGTGGATGGGGGTGGGGGACTTTAAATTCCCAGTCTGGCTCGTTTTTTAAACAATGAGCTTGG